TTCATGTTCCCCCCCCCCCCCCCCCACGGACAAGACTCGAAAATTATCAGATGATTTGTGATCAAAATCAAATATGAAACGATGCAATGAGACGATTTCGACTAAACTCAACAAAGATTAGGAGAAAGGAAAAAAACTAACAAGCACGCTTTTAAGAAAAAATCTGTCTGGGACAGTACACTTTCAGAGATGGTGAATTCCAAAGACTATTCTCACATTTGCCAAATGAGAGATTATTCAGAAAATACGATTACTATTTTCGCCTCATTTCTTCCTTTGTAGTTGAAATTTCCACCTCATACTAGCTACATAAAAAGATAATTGCCTTGCTAGTCTTTCCACCCATGTAGTGTAGCATAAAGCTTACTAATATGAAGTTTAGAGTCATAGATAGGTGTATTCAAATTGTGCAAAAATAATTCTACAGTTTTCAAACGCTTATCAACCATTTAACTGTCGTTTTTTCTCTTTTGGACAGGTGGGATTATAAAAATAAAGAAACCATTGAGACTTTTCTTTACAATTGCAAATCACTTATCCTGTATTACTGAGTTCTATTACCAGTTGAGTACGATAAGGAAAAAAGAATGTCTAGTGCTTAGCTTATAGAAATCCCAAAAGGTGCAAATCATGACGATTTTTTTTGATTTTGATTTTGCATTCCAAATTGTGCAAGAGTAATTTGACATTCGACGATCATTCAACAGTCGTATTTTTTCTGGACCTTACCAGTAAAACTCTTCCCTGCCGCTGAAATCATTTATTATGTAATCGAGTTTTATTTTTGTACATTGTACAGAAGCCAATGTTCTCGAATCACCACTGAACAACTTAGTAATGCATTCTGTTCTATTCGCAGGTGTGGCTGTCGGGTTTACACAGTCACAATGCAAAAACCATCGGGACGATATGAATCACACACTCATATCATTATGTCACCTGGGCAACCAAAGAGATTCGTATACACTCTGCGATCGGGGCGATAAGAACACAAAGGGTCAGCGGCGCGGGAAAGATTAGGGGAGTTACTTCAGCTATAAATATTCCACTTGACTAAAAAAAAGATTTTGAGTGCCCAAAGCTGCTAGAATATAGCTTTTTCCCAGGGATTTCCTGTCCAACGTGAGAATTTTCCCATTCAGTCCCAGAAAAATCCAGAAAAGAGGGAAATCCGTAGTGAATGGCTTATTTTTGACTAGCACAGCTTGTTCACTTTACTTTTTCGCCTGGCACTGGCTGGAAATTATGTCCGGATTCGTGCATAGAAGAAAACACTAAAGAACATCGATTAGGTCCGTACGTGCACGGCAGCCGCCGGAAATGGCCATGGCCCCCATGAAACGCACGGGGCCATGCGGAAAGATCCGCGAAATCGATGGGTGAAGGCACTTAAGTGAAGCTGTGAGAATGCACTGGTTGGGAGAATATTGACTTTTGTTTGGTTACCCTTTACTTCAAAAAATTTTGTGAATTTTTGAAATGCGAATTTCTAAGGTGGCAGGATATTATTTGATAACAGAAGGATTCTTTGGCAAAATTCTATGGGTGAAAAATTCTGACTTGCAGATTCTCCTGCTCTTTCTAAAGGAAGAAACACTCAGAAAAGGAAATAAGAAGGAAATCATAGAGATAAAAAAAGAAAAAAGCCACAAAGACAAGAATGATAGCACCAATTGAGATAAATTATTAGTTTGTTACTCCTACTTTCTCAGTTGAAGCACAAGATGTAAATTTTGTTTTTGAAATTTCATAAGAGATTACTCCAAAAAATCTGTCCCCTACCTCTCCCAGAAAACCCCAACTCTTTTCTTCTACAAAATGGGAGCCAAAACGTCATCGGTGCTACAATTCGTCATACAAGTTTTTTCCCTCTAATAGCTCAGTCAACCACATAAAGCCCTATTCCACCCACCAGAAGTATATACGAAAGCTCATAGTCAGAGCAATAGCCTATTTCCAGAACTTGTGCACCCTTCCTCCCCCCCCCCCTATCTCCAGCCATTCTCGGTCGCTTCTTGTCCAGTGGTGGTAAATAAATAAATAATTTGCTAAATTATGGCTGCAGCAGACTGAACCTCACTTGCAGGACTTTTTTGTAGAAATCTTAATCAGATGAACAAAAAAAAACTTCGTCTTAATTGCAGCTGATAAGGGGTGGGGAAGGTTGCAAAGTGGTAGAATAATCGATAGAGTTATTCAATTTCAGTATTTGTGAAAATACAAAGTTATGCATCCTCATACTCTGAGCACGATTAAGAACGATTCTTATTAATTACTTTAATTTAAGAAACAAACTCTACTACTCCTTTTTTGATTGATTTTCTCTATTTGTCTAGTTATTTATTATGAAATGTCAAACTGGAACCGACAATTATGCAATCAAGATGTCAAATAGTGTTAGTGAGAACTAGCCAAATTTTGTGTTCATCTGAAAACTTTTTCGAAATAAAAATATAACTTGGATGATGAAGAACATGGAACCCGTAGTACTTTGGTTACGAAACAAGAACATTTGCGCAAATGAGCTCAGCAGAGCGTTTTTTTACCTAGAAGAGGTCTAGCTCATTATCTGGACGCTCAGTGCGAAACTAGCAATGGGGACGGATAATGTGCTTGCGGACGTATTCATATAACTTTGCATGAATGACTAGATTGACTAACACATCCACTGTAGGCGGAAAAATAAAAACAGATGTAAAAATGATGTCGTGATGATATAATGATTGATGTAGACTTTTTACGAATGATGAAAAAGATAAGCGAAAGACTTGGTGAGAGAAATTTCTAGATTTCTGTGCGTGCATGAAAACCATGGAATTCGAGGACATTAGGCTGATCACCTAGCAACCCGATGGGTATTGTGAAATTGGGCCTTTCGTGCATAGTTCAGGATAAAAAATTGCAAAATTGCTCAGCAAGAAAGAAATGTGTTTTCGGCACATAAAAAACAGCAAAATTACGAAAATTATATTTGTGGGCTGACAACGTGAAAATAGAGAAAATATTTTAAAAAGGAGAATGGCTAACTTGAGAAAACTCCCTACAACTATTTGAGAAATGCGCTGCTGAAGTACCAAGGAGGAGAGCAAGAGATGACCAAAGTTGTCCCATTCTCGAAAATATATTATAGGCAGTTGAAACGGGATTTTTTTTTTCGAAAAAATTCTCCAATCTTACAGCTAGCTACAACTATGTGGCCGCTGCTTGAATTTTGTAAAGCAACTAGTGCTAACTTTGTAGATTTCAGAAAAAAAATTCTGGATTTGTGGAGAGGAAAATTTCTTCAAAAAGGAATATGGAAAGAAATAATAAGTTATATGGAGAGATAACAACCTGTATTCTGAGCAGCTCTCCTTAAAATTTAGGATAACAACAAAAATTACAAAAATTTGTCGAAATTGTGGGAATTAAAGATTCATTTTTGATTCCATCCCTACAAAATTTACGTTGATTTCTATTTTTGTAGCCCTGCAGTTGATAAATCGGATAACCACTCCTATAAAACTGCAAAGAATAGAGTCTAGTTCTAGACAAACACGTTTTTCAAGCAAACTTTCTGGTCCCGAAGTCCCAATTCTCTTCAGTCGGATTTCCCTTTCGCTCTCTGACTGGATTCCCAGACCCAGAAAAAAGTGGAAATTTGCACTTGAGGAACTATTGAGAAATCATCTATGAGCAGGAACTAGTGAGGAACTATCTAAAATCATCTGTAACTATCTTTAATCATATTAATAATCGATCATTGTCCAGGAAAAAGTACATTTGTACAAGAATCTTGCACAAAAAACATTTGAGATGGTAGATTGTCAATCATTTCAGAAAATTTTTGTAAAGTGAAACAAAAATAGATCTTCGCCTGGAATTCTCTCGTAACATCGAAAATTCCACAAAATTTTACGACATTACGTAGCAACGCTGAGGGATTGGTCGTATAGATAAACGCACAGCTGACGGTTATTCATAAAAATCTCGAGCCACTTGAGCAATGGTGAGAGGCTTAGGCTAGAGAAGAGCTGGAGGGGCTGCTATTGGGGCCAAAAAATTTTTCGGAGACTTTTTTCTGAGGAAAAGTGAAAGCAGGTCTGTATTCAGAGATGTTGCCTTGCCTGGTCTACATAAATCTCCGGAAAACAGCATTGAAAAAAGATCATAAAGTGGGTCAAAAAGGGCCAGAAAAATCTGATCTACAGGTTCTATTAACCGATGGTCAGGAAGTAGATCAACTGGAAGGCAAGCGATGTCTATCAAAGTGCACCCCCACAAAGAAAATGATCACATCTAGTTGAAATTAGCCCTCATTCGACATTGGGCTAATTTATGACATCATGTACACTCTCACTATATCGGAAGTGGTTGAAGAGACATACGATGAATTTTACAAGAAAAAAAAAAAGAGAAAATAGGGCGAGTGGCTAAAAAGAGCTTTGCAAATTTGGGCAAACACATCGATGCACAATTCGCTGGAAAAAAGTAGTAAAAAAACGACATTGATAGGATTATTCGGAAATTATCAAAATAATCCAAGGAAAAAAGCAGTCAGCACTCTAAGCCCATAAATTTCAAATTATCGAAAAAGATCTGAATGCAAATAAGATCAGTTTGACGTCGTTTCTTCCATAGCTATATCAGATGCGAAATTCAAACTTCCACCCTTCCCTCCCCCCCCCCCCGTTTCTCCCCCAAGTGATCGTATTATTTTCGCACGAACCATATAGCAAGCTAAGCGCCACCTCGATGATTGATACTCTTAGCCATTTTTCTGTCATCATCAATAAAGGCGGCCGATAACTGTTATTACTGCCGATTCAGAGTGGAATGTGATTATAGCCATGGCGTAGATGAAAGGGTTTGGTAAAGGTATGAAAGACAGGAAAATCGATTTAGAAAAGTGGAAAAAGGGAAGCTGAAGAATAGGAGGAAAGAAAGTGAAAAATCAAGAGGAAGATGAAAATAATGTAAATAATGATTTTTCAAGAATAAAAAAAATTGATGTCACGTACTTTTGTGAATTCTTGTTGCTGTCCAGATCGTCTTCACCGGAAGCTAAAGGGATTTCAGGCACTCGTAGGTCGCCTGCCTCCATCGCTACCCGCATAGCACTGCGGCCCAGGGCTGGCGCTGACACTGACTGCTGCGCCCCGTCGACGACGACGGCGCTCGGAGGCTCTCGCGCTCCGCGGGGGACGAGAGAACACGTCCCCGGCGGAGCCAGCACGACAGGGCGACACCGCTTGAGACACGCGGCCCCGGCCAGAGGCGCAGACGCGGCGGGGGCCCGCCCCGGACGAGGCAAAACGGGCCGCTCGGAGGCGCGCGACAAGCTCGGAGCCGGCCGAGGACTACGCGGAGGACGAGAGCCACCAGATGTGCCCTCAGGGCTGGCGCGGCGTGCTCGAGAGGACAGCGCCAGTCAGTGCTCCCCGTGGAATTCATGCAGTGTTTCCATTCTTTATGGGCCTAGTGTACTTGAAAGTCAGGGAGGTGGCACTTTCAGTGCGATCTTACGAAATCGTGCCTGAGGTAAAAATATGAAGGGGCTTCTTAGGCCGAAAACATGCCTCATGCGATTTGGCAATACTCCAGTTGGTCATATCTCATCGTAATAGTTTTTTTTGAGTGTACGCAATATAGGACATTTTATCAACCTACGAGAGTTATACGTGCTGTTGCTTTGAGGTCTAGCAGTACTAAATCGAAGATATCTGGCATTTTGCCAGACGCGTGGCAACTGAAATCGCGTGAGGTATGCCTTGGGCCTTAGGCAGTCGAACCTTCAGCAGATGTGCTATTTTTTGCTTTTAACATGAGCAAATGGCAAATCAAAGCTGCCTGAAGAACTCCCTGTGATTTTAGCGTTTTAGGTGTTGAAAGCAAATTTTTCAATTTTCCCATAACTTTTCTATGTCTGAATGTACGCGCTCATTTTTTGGCATTTTATAGAACTTGATTTGGCTAAAAATGTGCGCAGCTGTTTGATTCAGATAAAAAATAGAATGAATCTGAGCATAATTTGAAACTGTTGAAATTCAAAGTTATACCAGAGCATGAGCTTTGAACAACCAGTGAATCAAGTACATCGATAAGAAACTGTAGGCAATATTTGCTAGTAGTTTACTCACTGAGCTCAGCCAAAATGCTGGATAAAGACAGGTTGAGATCCAGCACCTTCGTAAATTAAACAAGGCGTGGTTTTCTTTTTCGCCAGGATATCGGTAAATGTTAGCTTTGTGCAAAAGTATTGCGCGTTTATCTGGCCCTTCTTTCAGGACAAATCTTCTCCATCAAACTTCCTCCTCTAAAAAACCACCAAACCATTAAGAAGCTCGTTTCGTCCTCTATCCAGTGGTTGTTGAAAGGACTTTCTAGCCTCATTTGTTAAAAATTAATATTCAAATTACCGCACTCGAAACCGAATTTCATTGCCTTTATTTTTTGGCCAGAATTCAAGCGCGAATGAAGGGCGTTCTTTTACCTATTACCTATTAATATTTACCTACTGCATGTAATGGAAATTGTCCTCATTGTGTACACTTTACCACTTTCTCAGAAACTACCTAGACTGAGATTTCGGCGCCTCGACATAGGTAGTGGTTTTGGTCATTCTATGGCCCGTAAATTTCCTTTGAAGAGGGCAATTCCAGCTTGCTCATTTTTGTAAGTATAAAGATGGGCCTCCTGTTGACACTTTTTGCAGAATTGTTTAGGTGCTCAGTACACAGAAAATCAAACATTTCATATTTTGGGATTTTGAGGCCTAAGAAAAAGTGTCGAAAAAGGGGACAATTTTGAATATCAATTTTTTCCTTTCCCAGTTCTTCTTTTTTTTGAACCCCTTTCAATTTCTTGTGCTACTGGCTTGCGGCTACAAGACATGCTTTAGAAGGGAGTCATGATTAGTTAAAAATGAGGTTTCAGAAAAAGTTTTCTTGCTTATCAATCCATATTCTCGTGCCCATATGAGCTTAGGGTGGATGTCCGCTGTAATAAGAAAGGTTTGATGCCTTTAATGGTTTTTACCACAATGAAAAATGTATATTTTCTTGAAAGTTATAACAGTGCGAACACAAAACGCGCATTACTTTTGTATCAACCCAGGAACTAAGAAGCAGAACCTCAGAATTCTAAACTTTGTGAAGTCGGAAAAGTTGGCATGCAAAACACGAGAACCAATTTACTTGTTGAAAAGGTGAAAAATCATACTTGACTGAAGTTAATTCATGAGAAAAGAAGGTAGTCCCCGTACAATTTTCAGCAGAATGTAGAGCGATTATTTTTTTTCCATTGTGTTTGAACTTGTCCCTGAAATGCAGGGATATCTACATTTCTAGGCTCACTCCATAATATATAGAATACCAAGAAATGGCGCAATATCCCAAAGACAAGAATTACAAAAAAGTTTGCATTACATGATTGCCAACCTAAAAATATCCTCAGGTCGTGGCTTCGTGAGGAAAGGTCGAAATTTTGGCATGGGGACTGCTTGAATTCACTGTAAACAGTTGGTCTGGATATATCTCATTTGCTAGAATTACAGGATTTAGGTACTGCAGTGGCATATCCAGGACCGTTCGGGGGGAGGGGGGGAGGGGGGGGGAGGGGGGGGGGGGAGGACGAAAATTTTCTTTTGATGAAGGTGCTTGGCATCAGCCAAGTGCTCCGAAAGCATTTTTGGTCTATCCCATGGCGGGCCCATAACGCCGAAATTCTAGAAAAAGTTGTTTAGAAAAAAATGTTTGCAGGGAATTCAAGCCCCAGTTCAAAAGAAGGTAGCGTGGCGTCATCCATGAATTTTCAAAAAATTCAAAAAATTATTTTACAATTACAAGTACAAACAATTCACTTGCAAATTTTTATAACTCATGTAAGTAACTTTATGAAATTTCGTGACCCATTCTCAAGGGGGGGGGGGAGGGGTTTCGGTACGGCACTGCGGGACTGGAATGTTTAGAAAGGATTACGCGGCAGGGGTCCACCCTCTGGATTCTGTAGCTTTGATGAGATATTTTTTATTTTGAGTTAACATATGGTACATGACTGCATGACTGCTAATGCCTTATTGAATTAAACTTTGTGATTTCATTCATCACTAAGTTGACATTTTCTCTCATTTCTGGATCTTAATGGGCATCGGTTGACTTGTAGTTGGGTTCCGACTGACAAGTCTAGAGCAGCTGAAAAATTAGATTGCTCCAAAAGTAAACCGTATTTAAACAGATTAAAATCTTTTTGTTTTCCTAGCAGATTTAGCGTAACATTCAACAGAGCAAAGCAAGCTCTACAAAATGATCACCAAGAATCCACCTACGTCGTAATTCATGTAAAGTTTAGAGCGAAAATCGAAAATTTTTTTTACTGAAAATTGGATTTTTGCGAAAAAGAAATCCAACGTACCTCCAGTAGGGCCCGACACGAGTGGGTTTCTAGGGTTTCTGAAAACAAACTTGACTTTCGGAAGTTTTACGAAGTCCCTTTTGACCTTTTTGCTTAGGAGAAGATGAAAACAAGAAAGACTTTCTAGTCTTATTATATTTCACAAAGCGATATATGAAGAAATGAAGGCAAAAAACAAAGGAAAGGCAATGATATGAAAATGTCGTTATGCTCAGGGATAGGCTTTTGACCGGGGCATCCGTAAGTGGCGAAAATATATGCTCCAGACGATTTCAGATCGTCTGTGGCCGTCTAGAGACGATCTAATTTTGTAAAAGGTATTAATTCACATAAGTCTGCGAAGCTTTCCATATAATCCTTCCTCAAATAATTTTCTAAGTACACAGTTCAATTTTGGTGTCGAATGATTCTGTGTGCGCTGTAAACAAGCAAATTGTTTATTTTAGCCTTGCCTTCAAATCGAGCGCACTTTTCGTCATACACGATAGAGCATGTCAAGTGCGATAACCTGCCCAAAAAGCTTGCGTTCGACTAAATGACGCTTATTCTTCGTGCTCGGCCCCGATCCCTCAAAAACGAAATCCCCCTTTGCTTTTTGCTTCAAAAACGAAGTCCAGCCTGCTTCCAGACGATCTGTGCCGGGCCCTGGTTGTGGTTCAAAAATGTAATGTTAGAAAGAGAAGAAAATGCTGCCAAATGCTGTTTGAGTTGTAGGAGGCCACTTTTGGTACAAACTTTCAATACATGGTCAAGTTCCATCCAGAAAAATTAGGGTAGTAAAGGAAAAAGTGCTGCAACTTTGTAAAAGGACAGAGGAAAGATTTGGAAGCTACTCGGTTACTTCGGGGTCTTGCAAAGCTACTAAGTTAGGCCGCCTAAGCTCAGTAATACATGTAACTAGCTGGCTTACCTGGCTCCGCCCGGTCCTGTCAAAACACTATGATAAAGCTCCCATCCCTATGTTTGTACAATCTTTCCCTGTGCCCACTTCTACATGCAATTAGCTTTCCCGCATGTTAGAAATCAGCATGCTCATTTACCTCCCCCCCTCTGTGCAAATTCCCAGTCCCATAGCTCGGATTTGCAAAAAAAATTCGATAAAATCGATAAAAGTAATCGATAATGCCAAAAACTAATATTGTATTCGTAATCAGCATGCTCGATTACCCCGCTGTACCAACTCCCAGTCGGCAGGTCAAACTTTACAAAAAATCAATAAAATCGATGCGGATCGATGACGAAAAATAGCCTACGACACCCGCCTAGCCCTGAAGTGTATGTGTGCAAAGTTTGGTCCAGATCGGTTCAGAAATGGAATTTTCTATTCGGAACATACGTACACACGGATATACAGACATACATGCATACATACTTACATACACACATACATACATACATACATACATACATACATACATACATACATACATACATACATACATACATACATACATACACATACATACATACATACATACATACATACATACATACATACATGCATACATACAAACATTTCAGCTTTATATATAAGATTTTGCGCAGTAATTGTCTAGCGGAGATGTAGGGCAGATCTATATCTTTGGACTTGCTTGAGAACTGTATCAAAATTATGTACTCTTTACACTCCGGTAGACATCCCAACCTTATCGTCTCTTTCAGAGCCTGAAAGTATCATTGCGAATTGTGCTCCTGAAACCTTATCAGTAAAACATAGAACAGTGTGATAACTACCACATTACAAGAATAGACCAAGTTAGCGCTTACCATTGTAGCACTAACGGTGAACAGAGCGTGTATCATAAAGTGAAGCTAGCGCTTACTATGTACTA